CAGGAGTTTTATATGCAGTATCAGCAGACAGGATTACATTTCTGCAGTCAGGAAGTTGCAAAATGATGCTCAGGAACAAAATGGCAGGCAGGAGCAAAACTGTGTTGTGCTGGTCAGCTGATTTTCTTCCTTCCACACACACTGGAGCAAGCGGCTTCAAACTATGGCCCGTGGCCCACTTTGCAGCCCACCTAGGACATTATACGGCCCTCCGGGTGTTTTTGCCACCGCTGCCTGACCTGCTTAGCAGCCGACTCGTCCTGGGGCCCACAGTCCCCTGTCCAACCATCTGAGGGACGATGAACTGGCTCCCTGTTTAAAAAAGTTTGAGGACCCCTGCTCTGGAGTGTAGCGATAACAGTGTGACTCTGGAGGAAAATATTACAAGTGGCCAACATTTGTAACATCTGCACTTGTTTCACTGACTCAGTGAAAAATGACCAATTTCAATTCATAATGATCAAGCAAAAACAAAAACATGCTTCTACCCAGAATGCTGCTGCAGCTTGCCTTTCTATGTACTACTGCTCCTGAGAAATGAGCAAGTCACACAGGTTTCAGTCACCTTAAATTAGTCACAGCATCAGGGGAAAGGTAACAAAGTTGTCAGACTGTATCCCCCACCCCAGTATTGACAGTCATGAAATGGTTCCTCCCTTTGTTCCATCAGTGTCTGAGTCTGCTAGGGCTGCTATAACACAGCAGCACCAACTAGGTGGCTTAAACCAGCCAACTGCACTGTCCCACAGTTCAGGAGACTAGGAGTCCACGATGAAAATGTTGAAGGTGTTGGCTCCTTCTGAGGGCTGGGGGAAGGATCTGTTCCAGGCCTCTTTCCTTGATCATGGCTGTCTTCTCCCTGTGCCTCTTCATGCATCATCTTTCCTTTATGGGTGTTGTTCCTGAGTCTAAGTTTCTCCGTTATTTTTTGCAGTTTTTGGCCAGTGCTGTCTTTGAACCTGCCACCTCCAGCATATGGGTCTGGCATCCTACTCCTTTGAACCACAGGAGCCGCCTAGTTTCTCCTTTTTATCAGGACACCAGTCATATCAGATTGGGGACCACCCGAATCCAGCATCACCTCATTTTAACTAATAACATCTGCAACAACCCTCTTTCCAAATGAGATCACATTCTGAGGTACTGCACATTAGGACTCCAGCTTTATTTTTTGCAGTTTTTGGCCGGGGCAGTTCAAACCTGCCACCTCTGGTATTTTGGGCTGGCGCTCTACTCCTTTGAGCCACAGGCACCACCCCTCCAGCATATCTTTTTGAGGGGCAGGGGACACAATTTGACCCGTAATGGTGATGGTAGGGGAGAGAGAATAGTGAGGGCAGATCTTGCCCCTTTCTGTGCAACTGTTGCCGAGCTAGGGAGCTTCTGAACTAGGGAATAGCCAGAAATAATAAAATGCTATTATTACAGACAACATACACAAGTAACTGATTTAATATGTATAAATTAGCCAGGCGTTGTGGCAGGCACAACACCTTAGATTAGGACCAAATAAGTGTTGGGTAGTAACTCATTAAATCCTCAAAACAATCAGAAAGGTAGGCACAGC